TCGCACACTTAAATGCCCTTTGTATGGAATATATACGCTCCCTTCAAACTGGAATCATGGCGGAATATCCGGTAATGTCCACTTCGCAGAGCACTTAGTCAAATATAACAAACGTATGAAGCAATAAGAGAAACGCACAAAATGTGCAGAGCGGGGGTACGCGATGACTGGAATTGAGAACCGCTGGTCAAGACATGCCGAAAATGTGAGGCTACAGCACAGCAGTTGCTCTTCTTCGTCGTCTCGTCTGATGCAGTCACTCAACCAAGCGTTCTAACCACGACATCGCCCCTCCCCTCCCCCCAACCATTCGAATTTCTGTAGGCAGGAATTCTTTGTAATGATATTCCAATGAGCAAACAAAACAAAAACAAACGCTGTAGTCCAAACGAGCTGTTTACTGTAGTTCTTGAAACTACATTCAAGAACATGGTTGAAACACGAGGAACCGAATTCCACAAAAAAGACCAAGACACAGGATGTTCGTAAATCAGATCCTGGCGCCACAAGTCTGAAGCAACCAACTAGCAGCTTTAAGAAGACTTATTGACAATTCCAAGGAGATTGTCAATTTTGGGGCAAGTAATCAAGATTGATGGTCAAAGAGATGCACAGCATGACCATCACATGTAAATCCATGATAGTAATCACGATCACAAGCTCTTTGGATTGACTTCCCCCCACCTAGAAGACAAGAACCAGACTGAGATTCCTTAGGAGACCTTTTTAACCTCTCTGGTCTTCACAGAACATGTCCACATACATCCACAGAATGGCACAGAAACTACCTTTCCATGTATATATGCACCTAAATGACACTAAAAGGACTTGTGAGCAACTAATCATTTCTATGCATAACTCCATATTATGTATGTAACCCACATGTGTGATTATCATGTTCTAATCACTTATTGTGTGTGTATTTTGAATAACTATCGAATAGTTTATAGGATTATATTCATGTTGGGTATGTATGAGTGTGAAAATTCATGCTTTAAACGTTTCTATCAATCAATACTTTGTCAAATGTATAATATTCTTGTTATAGAAATTATGTCCAGAATTATACTCTGCAAGAGCGGGAAAATTCGGACCATGTGACTGATAAGATAACATTTGATTTATGAATTAGGAGGAGAAACATCGCAACACCCCGAGCTATAATTGGTCAAGGCACCATTTGGGGTGTGTCAAACAGCCCGGTTTAAAGGGGTCATATGATGCGATTTCAATTTTTCCTTTCTCTTTGGAGTGTTACAAGCTCTTGGTGCATAAAGAAGATCTATAAAGTTGCAAAGACTAAAGTCTCAAATCCAAAGAGATATTCTTTATAAAAGTTAAGAGTTAACCACACCTACCTAAAACGGCTCGTTCTAACACGCCCCCACATGTCTACGTCACTATGTGGGCATAACACCGCCCAAATGTTCACGCAAAGAAAGAAGGCGTAACTTTTATTCTCGCTGTAGTATTGTTGCTGCCGCCATGTCGTGAAGACACTGTGTGCTGCGTTGTGAAAGCGAAACTACTTGGTTTGGTCTTCCAAAAGAGGACGATATCCGCTTTGTCATGCCTAGAGCTGATCTGTGCTGGTCGCTGAGGGAATACATCAACTTAGTGCTGCTCAGCTCACGCTAGCCCATGCTTGCCCGCCGCCTTGGCTCACGCTGGGCCACCGCCTGCTGTTCTGACTTACAGTCTGTAAGTACGTTTTCATTTAAAGGATTTGCCACTGATGATTCAAACGCGAATTTTGAGCAGTGTAGAGTAACGTTAGTGCTTGTTTGTCATTTCTGATCACAAATGCAGACATGGTTTTGTTTACGCGACGCGATGCAACGCAACACGTAAAAAGACAGTATAAGTCATTATAATCCGTAATTATGTCCCCACTGGATGCAACAAATGCCTCATTTATAATGGGTTTTCATGTTTTTTTTCTTGTCGCTCCGGGAGACGGCATCAACAGTATGGTGAGGGGCATAACATTTCCGTCTCACGCTTGAGGTATTCGGCCAATCACAACACACTGGATAGCTGGCCAGTCACAGCACACCTCACTTTTTCAGACCGATGAGCTTTGTAAAAATCAACTCGTTTCAAAAAGGCGGGGCATAGAGGAGAAACAATAATGTACAGTATGTGGAAAATAATGTGTTTTTAGCAGCTAAACCACACAAACACATTTCATTACACCAAATACACAAAATAATGTTCTTTTTAGCAACATCATATGACCCCTACACCAAATAATGTTCTTTTTAGCAGCATCATATTACCCCTTTAAATACTCAGGACACCATCAAACTTTGCTGTTTAGCGTTTCGCTTTTAGTCATGCTTTTTAGTTATGCTTCAGGTCATTGCTTTTGCGTTCTTCGAGCGCCGTTCCAGCATGCTTAGACCTGCACGCCCGCTGCTACTTAGCCACGATGAGAAGAAAACCATCTAGTCTCGTCAAACTTTATTTCTATTCTTTTACTTTAGTTTCTTTTCTTTCCGTTGAGAGTTTCGTGTTCTGAGTTAAGTTTTGCCTAACGCCGTGTCTCTGAGTCCGACCTGTGCCCGTCTCAAAACTTCAACCAGCCCACAGACTCAGCATCTTCAGCCAACGCCCAACCATTGGCTTCCCATCACTTCAATGACTACTGAACTTCCAGCCAATCAGCAATCTTGGGAGACCCCTTCTCTGCAACTACGACACAAAGGGAACCCCTTACACAGGCAACGCAAGTACCTCCAGCTGAACTGGTGCATTTAATATAATTTTAATCTCACTGAGGAACTCAATGCGAGGGTTAATTAAGTGATTGATGGTTGTTCATGTCTATGCAATTTCACATATTGCTATAAACTTGGGATTTCACATTTGAATTCTTTTAAACTCATTCTTTCCTCACTTTCTCTCTTTCTGCAACTTGTGTGAATGCGTGTGTTCATATGCTAGATTAGATTATGTCTTAGATTTATCTAATAAAGTCTTATTTATATTGAAAAGAGAAGTATCTTGTGTTTTGTGCTTACAAGTTAATGTCTTAAACTGCCGATCTTGTTACTGTGCTAATAAATAGCGTTTTCACTATACTTTGGATATTAATATCCATTGCAGAATTGATGTTATACGGCTCGTTCAATGAATCGCTGGCCGACTTGGTGATCAGCCGTAAAACAATGATTTGGTCCAAATTCCCTATAAAATCATAAATGATTCCCTTTGAGCTAAATTGACCTGTTTCCCTTACATCTACTACTTGTATATTCAATCCTCTTGCCACTATTGTTCTGAAGAACTGTTTGCCAGCTATTGTTCCTCATATTACTGCTATTGCGAATGCCTCACATGATGCAGGTGTAAGGCTGAAAAGACCTCGGACACTTTGATCTCCTGAGATACGGACAATACAAACACAGTGTATTAACATACCAACATCTGTTTCTACATCTCGCTGAGAGATGTTGGAAAGCTTCTTTCTCACCTATACATTTGTTCCTTTTCCCCCACTTCCTTCTCTTCACCCATCCTTCCCCTTACTCCGCTCACTCAGAATGGTCAATAGCATAATAGAATGTTCTACATGAAAGAAAGTGATATTCACAGTCGTGCTTGGTATCATTTGAAATGTCTCAGTGTGACTGGTACAATGGTCTCAATCTTACAAGAGGAAGTAGACTAAAAGGTATATCAGACTAGTCTTTGACATTTTGGATTGATTATCTTTGAATGTACTATGTAATTGACATAATACATTTTACCTGACTAATAATAAATTGTCACATTTGATATTATTCCGACTTACTAAATTATTTTCACACGTGGATTAAGTGAAGGCATTTGTTTCTGCAAATCTGCATCCAGGGTTAAGTGGAGCATGGGGCACATCAGGTGGGATGCTAGATTTCTGAGTAACAGCTTGACTTTAGTTAAGTTTTATGCAGTTGCTTTAACTATGGTGGGCTAGTCATAACCGCTGGTCATTGTCTCAGCTTTATTCAAGTTGTACATAGTTCTATAACTATCATAAGTGACTATTAAATAATATTAGTCATCATAACCTCTGGCTAATGGTAGGGCTGAACGATTAGTTGCATTTGCGATAATATCGCGATATGAAAAAAACTAGATTTTTCAATCGCAGAGGCTGCGATTACACTTGGTCACGTGACAAGCGAGAGTAAAGAGGTGTGTTCGACTTGAAGATCGATCGAGAGAAAGCATAAGGAGACGTCCACTCTCTTATAGCTCTCGCAGTACTTTGATGACACACACCCATCGGTCTAAGCAGCGCTGCTTCAAGTTCAAGTCATCAGTTTAATGTCGGGTTTTGTCGTGTCGCGCCCTATACAGTCTATAGTCGCGTCGCATCCAGTGTAGACCGCTTCACTGATGATAATGGGTTCTACTGTATTTTGCCGCTCACGTCGGTGTAGACACAGTGTTTAATGTCGTTGGTGAGGAGGAAAGCCTGTGTGTGTCCTATGCCTTAGCGGACAGCATGAAACCCACAAAAAATAAATAAATAAAAGAGAGATTAATAATAATAACAGTTATTCTCTCTATGCTATTTTTCAATGTTTCAAGTGATGCAGGTGTTTTTTTTCAGCATTAAAAAAGCATTAATTTCTCATAATGTTTAGTGAAGTTATTTGGCAGTCTGAGGTGGAATGAGGATTCTGGAAGGGGGGGGGGATTTTTTATAGGTTTAAAGGGGGGCGCGACCATAAAAGTTTGAGAACCACTGGTCTGAAGTTAACAGACAGTGTTTAAAAAGTGAGTCCACATGTTTATTTCAGTGACTTTGAATTACCTAAAGTAGTGTGGTAAAGCAACAGATTCGTTTTTATATTTCTGCAATCTACTTTAGCTTGTGTGATTTATTACTGACTTTCATATTAATGTTTACACCAGGCTTATTTGTGCTTATTTGTTATTTGCTTTATGTTGTCATAATTATTACATGCTCGCAAGGTTGGAAGTTCAACAAATCAGTCAATATACTGTAATTCATATCAATTCATGCATCACCTAATTTCATCATAACATATAGGCCTGGCCTACAGAAAAGAACATTTATGTTTAATATATCTAATATTAGGTTGGTCATACTATACAATGATTTATAGCTTGTCTTTGTTGAATAATACAGAACATAAAGAGCTTTAAAAAATAATTGCATATTAAAACGCAATCGCAATATTGTTAAAAAAAAAAAATCGCAATTAGATTTTCCAAAATCGTTCAGCCCTAGTTAATGGTCAGACTGGTGAGTTTGTGACCGTGAGGTCCACGTAAAATGGCTGACATAGACTCTGAGTGACAGCTTCCTAAAGAACGAGTAAAATATGAAGTAAAGGGTTAATTACAATTCAAGGACTCAAGGATTTAAAGCGTTTATTGTCATATGCCCAGTGAGGAAAACAAGCTTCCCTGAGCAATGAAATTCTTACTTTGCTGTCCACAATGAATGCCAAGACAGTGCAAAGCTATACACACACATACACAAACTATACACACATACATACATACAATGTAAGAAACATAATAATAAAAACTATGCTGCAGTAGTAGGAATATAGACTATGAAAAAATAGAAATATAGACTGTGTATCTATATATGCGAGTATAGAGTAGAAATATAGAATGTGAAAATAGAAATATAGACTATGTATTTGTACAGTGAATGTACAGTATTAACTTATGTGCAAAAAAACAATAGTGCAGTAACATGTGCAACTACATGATAACAATAGCAGCAGTAACAGTAACAGATGTGCAAATTGAGATGAGGCTACTTGAGTAATATTAACAAATATACAATGGAAGTAATAACAGCAATAACATTACAAATCTTCAAATGAGATGAAACAATTTGTTCCGACTGTTCTCTGAGATAGATAATTCCACTAGCTAGCTACCTGTTTAAGAGTCTAATAGCTGAGGGGAAGAAGGAGTTCCTTAATTTGGAAGTCCTGCAATTTACACTCCTGTACCTCCGTCCTGAGGGTAGGAGTGTGAACAGTCACAGACTGTTGTGTTATCAACACAAGTGCTAATGTACCCAGTCACATACTCAGCATAATCCTGTATGCTGACAGAAGAGTCCTCCAAAGTGGCTGCAGCTTTAAACACATCCCAGTCTGTCAGAGCAAAACAGTCCTGCAGGATGCCCTCAGTTTGTAGGGTCCAAAGCTTAACCTGTTTGGTGAAAGTTTGTTTGTTTGAGTCTTTGTCTGTAGGCCGGGAACATTAACAAAGAGAGTTGGTCTGAGTATCCAAAGTGGGGGCGGGGTGCAGCCCTGTATCCGGAGGTATAATTTAAGATGGTTGGCTGAATTGGCGATGTCCAGTAATGCCTGTCGGTTGTACATTAGCAGTGCACTGCATTTGAGCATGGCAGATAAAACAGAAAATAAATGTCAGGTCATTCTTGAGACGTGGGACAAAACAAGTCCAGCAAGGGTAACTGCTATTAGCTTTAAAAAATAAAAATATTTTAAATTTTAAATGTCATAAGGGATTAATAATAGAATGTATTTAACACAATTATCACCTTCAATTTAATTTTCTCATTATTATACCAAATCTGTGATACTTAATGTCCTCTCACTACATCTAAAACAGTGTGTCCACAGAGAAGGGTTCAATCATTCATATGCAATAAAATGGATAAAAATGTTTTTTTAATGATGAAAAATAGCTTGTTTTATCAAAAGCAACACTTAATAATATCTCCTATCAAAGCAAGGTTGTTTTTTAATGACACATGCATGGTTCATAAGATTTTAAAGTTGCATCCCCACTTTTTGTCAACACCGTCAGACATTCAATAAAATGTAATAATATCAGGGGCAGCTGTCACTCTAAAGGACCCCCTTGCCACAGTTCACCTCTGCAGAGTACATCAGTGTCAGACAGGCTCTGCTAAGTTTTATAGTTTTAGAATATTTTAAATCCAAATGTTAATATTTCCTTTGTCACAGCCATGATACAGTGGGGCAAAAAAGTATTTAGTCAGCCACCAATTGTGCAAGTTCTCCCACTTAAAAAGATGAGAGAGGCCTGTAATTTTCATCATAGGTATACCTCAACTATGAGAGACAAAATGAGAAAAAAAAATCCAGAAAATCACATTGTAGGATTTTTAAAGAATTTATTTGCAAATTATGGTGGAAAACAAGTATTTGGTCAATAACAAAATTTCATCTCAATACTTTGTTATATACACTTTGTTGGCAATGACAGAGGTCAAACATTTTCTGTAAGTCTTCACAAGGTTTTCACACACGGTTGCTGGTATTTTGGCCCATTCCTCCATCCAGATCTCCTCTAGAGCAGTAATGTTTTGGGGCTGTCGCTGGGCAACACGATTTTCAACTCCCTCCAAAGATTTTCTATGAGGTTGAGATCTGGAGACTGGCTAGGCCACTCCAGGACCTTGAAATGCTTCTTACGAAGCCACTCCTTCGTTGCCCGGGCGGTGTGTTTGGGATCATTGTCATGCTGAAAGACCCAGCCACATTTCATCTTCAATGCCCTTGCTGATGGAAGGAGGTTTTCACTCAAAATCTCACGATACATGGCCCCATTCATGCTTTCGTTTACACGGATCAGTCGTCCTGGTCCCTTTGCAGAAAAACAGCCCCAAAGCATGATGTTTCCACCCCCATGCTTCACAGTAGGTATGGTGTTCTTTGGATGCAACTCAGCATTCTTTCTCCTCCAAACACGACAAGTTGAGTTTTTACCAAAAAGTTATATTTTGGTTTCATCTGACCATATGACATTCTCCCAATCCTCTTCTGGATCATCCAAATGCTCTCTAGCAAACTTCAGACAGGCCTGGACATGTACTGGCTTAAGCAGGGGGATATTTCATTATGATATTTTATATTTGTTGTGGAATTGTTGGTCACATGTGAAAGTGTAATCTGTCTGCTAACACGAGAATGTGTTTTGAAATGTTAAAAACATCTTGAATGCTGTTACCAAGATAAAGCTGAAATTATATTACACAGTCCAAGGTAAAAAAAAAAAAGCACATTTTGTTAAA